CTAACAAGAAATGTAGCTGTACTGGAAGATATTCATGTATCCACACCATTTTAAACATTCCTTTGAAGTCTCAGGGGTACCTATTACTAGCTAGCATCAGAATCCATATCACATACTATATATGAGCTATACATACAGTTGTATTTGGACATCTGGTTTGTGAACAATGAAAGAGGAAAGCAATTTTTTTTGCTTGACCTTCTATCCCTGAGACATGTTTTAATACATGCAGCTGTGGGGAAAGCATTGTGTACTGGATGACTGAAAATTCATATCGCAGGAGTCCTAAATGAAAATAAAAGCTTGAAAGCAATATTCCAAGACTGCTCCTTCAACACCTTATACTGCTGTTCGGTCAAATTCAATACATTGCCTTGAATTTTAATATGTGTGCTCCGATCTCCAAATGTATATTCAATAAAGGAATATATATTACAAGAGTTGCACAACTTGTAGCACATAAATATAGGAACATAGTGAGCTGAAAGTATTTTTTTCATCAAAGGACATAATTGATAGAATCAAGTACACAGTAAGTGAAAATACTTAATAGTAGCAAATAAGTAATATACATTATTATTATTATTATTATTATTATTATTATTATTATTATTATTATTATTATTATTATTATTATTATTATTATTGGTGTTGTTGTTGTCGTCGTCACAGAAACAATAAGGAGAACATCAAGATTGCTGGGTATACAGCTGGGCTAAGCAATCCTTTCTTGGAGTGCTGCAAGGTCATTATTAAATTTCAAGAATACATTTACTGATAGATGTTTTTTCTTACTCTATTCATAAAAATGACCATTTCTTCCAGAGATCTGGTGAAATTTGATTTAGATTCACCAATAAAACCAGTTACAATTTCATTAAACACCAATCCTTGCATTTGTTCAATAGCTTTTCTAACCTTCAAATTGTGACTCAGATTAAAAATTTGGATTTACAGGAAGGGAATATAGCTCTCACCGCAGCATCTTTACGGCCAATAATATATAACAAATAGAAAGTAGATCGTCATATATTTTCAGAATATGGACTTATAAAGCTACACCCAGAGGTGGGCTTGGGATCAAATAAGAATGACCTCTAAATTGGTTAATTTAAGGAGAGTTTTGGGTAGTACTGGAACAATGTTTATAAATGTGCTTGAATGCAACATGTTTGCAGAATGCTGAGAATTTGGCTGTACACTCACTTCAGCTTGGGTCTCTGTCCTCTAATGGGCTATAAGCTCATTACTATCCATAGTCATGACCACACATTTTAATTACAAAGCGTGAATAATCAAAAAAATAGGTGTTACATTACAAGATTTTATGAGCATCAATTAAGCTTAACTATGACAAAATAGTGAATGCCTTTTGAAGTCACGTATTTTCTTTTGAGGATACAACATTAAAGATCCGTGCATATTTTGGCACTTACTGTGGAACAAGGCCTCTCTGCAAGCAACTCTTCAACACTAAAGAACAGACAGATTCCTGATATGTTTATGAAAGCATCAAAAAGATAATTACATGACATTGAATATCTTGGCCTAATCATCTAATTAGCCCTATTGAAAATAATCAAGTTGGAACTTTTGATGGCAGCTGCACTAAAGAAAAAAAAACGTTTCTCAATAACAGAACAAAATATGGTTTTAAAAAGCTATCTAACAGCATTATAAGTGCTAGGGAAATTTTGCAATAGATTATTAGCCTTATGCAACTCTAGGTAAAGCTGTCTACATAAATCACAGGCCAAAGGGCCAATAATCCAAAATTGTCCCATTTTAGTTTTAAGGAGCTTTAAAACCATTTTTCCAACTACTTGCAACACCATCTATTTCTTCTTGCTTCCTACATTGTCCAGAGCCACATTCAATTCACCCTTACAGAAAGTGCACTACAAGAATAAGGACTGAAACAAACACTTTATTTTGTACAGAGCAAAAGAGAATTCCAGCTTCATAATATATTTTAAGCTCTTACTAAGACTGGAACTGTCACGGGAGCCGGTCCTGACACCCGTGTAGTGCGTATTTAGGACCCTATGCAGACGGTATAATCCGGAAGAGACTGGAAATGGACGACAGGGAAAACAAGGAGAGGAATGGATAGGAGGACTGACAGGGGGCAGTGCCGACGGTGATCCAGGTGTGAGGGGGAGCGCAGGCGAACACGTCCAGTGGGAGTCCAAAAGGGAAAAAATAGGGTGCAGTCTGAAGTCCAGGTAGCCGGGAGATCAATCCAAGACAGACAGTTAAAATAGGAACCGGGTCGGAACCATAACAGGAACAGGGAAGTTAAAAACACGGTGACGAGGCCAGGCCCTCCAAGCCCCGGAAACAGATGGTCAGGATGCCGGAGTGAAGCCGATGCCGTCGGGTCTCTCCTGGACCTGCTGGTAGGCTGGCTTCCAGGCATCCTTCTCCCAGTGCTGAGCCCAGAGCTTAGGAGGCACGTAACTTATATTGTGACAGGTTAAACAGGAGACGGGTGCACCTAATAATGAAACTAATAATAAAAGGTCAGAGCGCCCTCTAGAGGAAGGGTGATGACCGTGACAGGAACCTTGATCTTTGGGCTCAAATGCTAAACCTTTAAATGTAGTGTAGGAGTTTTCCCGTTTTAAAAGTCAATTTGCTAAACCGCACAATGTTTATTTGAACATTTCAGCAATATCAGCATGTTCTATAACTATTATCACTTTCAGTTTGGCATTTCATTTTCTCTTAACTACTGTCACTGCATCTGATTAAAAGTTATTTGCTCTGAAACCTGCATCATCCATGTTTTCATTTTGTAATACAGTACTTCACTCACATTTGCATCTTTAAATAAGATCGAGATCTCTAATGTGCTGGATTCAGGCTTCAAATTCAGTGATAAAAGAGAAATAATATTGGTACTATACTTCATACAAGATTCCATTCTTGGCTACATTGATTTATTTGAGTGGACTGACTAAACATAACACATTGTTTGAACATGGATCAAAGTTAGAGAAAGATAAGCAGTTCTTCAAAAGCAAATGGTTACTGCACTTATAGCAAAGGCAACTGAAGTACAGTTTCCAGCTTGGCTTATAGTAGGGCAAGTCTTAAAGGAAGAAGCCATACTGTGATATACGGTATGCATCTTCACCCTAGGAGAGTAACACTGACCTTTGCCTCAGGAATATATTATAAAGAAACTCACTAGTAACAGCAATTGTTTTACCTCCGGACATTTCCCAGATATTCAGGATTAATATATGTTATGCTAGGACTAAGTTTATCTACTTGACATTCCTCTCTGCCATGCAAACAATTTTCTGATCACAAAAAATATTGTAAAGGTATATACCGCAGGAAATACACTTTCATATTTTTAGCTATTTTAAAATGGCAGGAACATTTGAATGCTTAATTTATAATTCATATCATATTTCTTTTTTCACTGCTTGTTCTGCTATTGTAAAGAAGCAAATAAAAATTGAACACAAAATAGAAAAACAAATAGATGTGAATTATTTTGTAATCTCACTTAATGGTATGACCAGCTACTATTTGTGGTATAAGCCATTTTCAAAAACATATCTACAAATGTAAAAAGTGATTCAAGTGTCACACAACTCACATTGGGTTAACACCTCTTCAGCTATCAGCTGAAGAACAAATACGTTATTGTAATTCTGTCAATTACAATCTTGCCTTTTCTCTCTGCACTCTTTGCTCAGACCAGAAATGGTGTACTAGGTATGTTACTGTGGGATGAACGTCAACAAAACCAATATAAAAATCTTTGTCATAAATCCTTCATATTGTATTACTCATTCTGCTTCTCCCTCATTCCCATGGCTCTTGAAAAGCAGAAGAAATGGTAGCATTGATTTCCAAGGATAATACATTATTATTACCACTATTTGAGTTAACTTTCTGGACAAAACTGAAAAAGACCTTACATGACGATCCCTGTTAACTTGGTAAATTACCTCTTTATTAAGTACTGGGTGCTAATATATGGTTTATTATAAATGGTTATACTAGTGGTTGACTGCCACTGAGGCAACCCACACCATAACCTTCTGATTCACTATGGCATGTATTCTTCACTATAACATCATGTTTACATTAAAAACTAATACTGTATATCATTTCTCTAATGTTGGATTATCACTTACACATCAATTGCCAAAGAACATTTCCACCATTGACAACAGACAAACTCATGTGGTAATGAAAAAAACAGTTGTGCAGTTTTTAAGTTGCATTTCATCTGCATAAGCCTAATGTTGGCATTTTTTTTTTATCTCAAAGTCACGTTTTCAGTGTAGGAGTCAAATTAAAACACTATTTAAGTGCTCAGCACCATTCCAACATACAGTAAGTCTACAATTACAATAGTGTAAGCCTCAACAATGAAGGTAAAAAAGTACAATGTTATACTGTTTTTCTCAGTTAATAAGTTTGATTTAATGTCCCTCATTTGTTTTCATTTCATTGTAACCAAGTGCGAAACACCTCGGGGTAGCTGATGCCATTAGGAATTTTATATTGCTTTACTTTGTTATAAATATCCAGAGTCTTAAGACATACAGACGTTGCCTAGTATTTTTCTAAGATACTGTTTCCATTAAACGTCTTTCCAAGTGTCAATATTACTGACATTCATCGTCCCCTGACACTTTGGGTCAAAGCAACCAACTATTTTATTTCCTTTGGGAAATAATTGGATTGGAATTAGACAATTTCCAATCATATGCATGGATGATCAACATTGCAATGAACAGCTGATGAAACAACAATACTGTTATTCAAATCAATTAGAACTAGAAGACTTTTCTCAGTTCATCTATTCCAAAAAAAAGGATAACAATGAATTATACTGACTTACAATAGTATTTTAAATCAATACAATGTAATTTCACTACCAAATTGATATTTTCACAATTAGCATTTGATCATCTTGAACCAAAGACCATAATGAGAATATAGAAAATAAACATATTGTAGGAACCTTTTAAAATAGTTACAGAAATACATACTTTGATTTGTCTTGCTGAAATCCTAAGCAGTAATGTTTTTTTAAGCACATTCAGGCTTCATTTAAAATCAAATTTACAGCTTGCAGACAAATGTAAATATAAAACATAGAGTTTATGTCTTAGCTCTCTCTCAAATTAGCTTACATACTGTACGTGTGCATTTGCTCTCAAAGACACATACGTCAGGTGCAAGAATACACTAAAAATTATATAAAAGGATAAATAATCATGCTTCTGGGATTCATTTTAGCATTGTTAACCCAGTCACCTGATCTCAAACTGCATGGCATCTGACTGATTCCTTCAGACAAAGTGACCCAGTCTTCACACTGTGAATGGGGTTTCAGATGGGGCATGAAGAGCTGAGCAGTATGAGTGCACATCTGGCCCTGTTAAAATCCACAGATGGAAGATTCTTTGTGTTACCAGTGATGATTTAACGACGAACTCTTCACCGATTTTATATTGATTGAATTTGGCAGACGTCTGTGTATTAAAGAACAATGCACTCCTGTGTGTTGTAAAAGTCCTAAGCACCATAAAACAAAATCAAACATGTTAACAAACGCAGAAAAGCCAGTAATGTAATTTTGCAATTGACATATTGTAGCCAAAGAGTATATGTTAAAAAATAAATATGTCAATTAGAATTTACAGGTTAAACACTTAAAAGTTACACATGGGTAATGACCTATGTTTCATTAAAGCTTTTACACACTTTTTTAAACAAACCCAGTAAGGATCTGTGCCTGTGGCTGGAAGGTTGCCAGTTCGAATCCAGTTCGAATCCAGTGGCTGGCAAGAGGAATCCTGATCTGTTGGGGCCCTGAGCAAGGCCCTTCACCCCAACTGCTCTAGGGGTGCTATATAAATGGCTGATCCTGCGCTCTGACCCCAAGCAGCTCTCCCTGTCTGTGTGTCTCATGGAGAGCCAGTTGGCATATGTGAAAAGACAAATTCCTAATACAAGAAATTGTATATGGCCAATAAAATGATCTAATGGTAGAATTTTGACCCTGAGACCTAAAACACTAAGAAAAGTGAACAAGAGAATGAGCAAGACTAGACTGGTGTGTGGTGTTGAGATATCTCTACAGGCAGCAACCCAACAGCACTCTTTAATAATTCATATTTCATAATAATTCATAAATATCCTGTGTAAGGAATTTAAAACTAGGGATGAAACAAGATGAAAACAATGTGTACTGTCATAGAGGTTCCATTACACACCTCATGTTAGGTGTCATCCTCAGGGAAATAAGTATATTATGGAAGTCATACAAACTCCAAGGAACAAAACAAAACATAAAATTAGTTAAGCATACCTGTAGTATTCAGAATTTTAGGAAGCTGCTTTGCTGCATTTTCTGGTGTTATTTTTTATGATACCGTGTAGGCTGTGATGCATCTGAGTGTTAGTCTTCAGGTTGTTTGGTGTTAAATTGTTTAGTTTAAAATTCATGAAGTTATCCATCATATTCTATGTCCTGTCAAGGAAATATAAAAACAGATCATTTACAGCCACTTATTTATTTATTTGGATGCCTGTTTATGCTAGAAAAACATAACCTCCACTGATAGCTCAGTTTATAGTCACTGTGGTGTGTTTATGTTACAGTATATATGAGGCCAACTTATTCTAAGAACCAAACCGTGAGGCTTAAACCCCATTTCAGAAATGGTAAAGAAAGAAGATATTGAATGACTAAGGAGGATATGCCAGAATGGATGTAAAGAGAATTGCAACACAACAGAGCTACTGCAGAAAAATGGAAAATCAGCATAAATGGATACCTTAGAGCCTGCAATAAACTCTGGTGTATGTCAAGAATGGTGTTAACCTGGTTTTCTGCACTTGCAGACTAGCAGTCCGCCATTGTTAGTGTATGTAAATTACACTGTAATGTACTGTACAGGAATGAATAACAAAATGTGGGAATGGACAGGGACTGGGGAGAATAAGAGGTACTAACATGAAAATGAGATGGTAGGATTTTGACTCGCACTTCGAGAGGTGCGAACCCTCCAAATAATTCACACCTTCTCTAGCGCCATGCAAATTATTGAAGAACCGAGTAATCAAGGACTGTATAAAAGCATCACCCAACCAAGAACTGTCATTCATTTCTGAATGGCAGCTGTTGTGCCCTTCATGCTATTATTTTTACTATTTTGTGGTCACGTATTCTGGTTATATTAAAGTATTCAGTCTCTTGTACAGTTTTCGTGTTTTGGACAGCTTTACTTTACTGGAAGTTTGCAGCCATGACATTTTGAAGTAGCAAATACTATTTCTTACACACACACACACACACACACACACACACACACACACA